TCAGCAAATTCTTAGCACCAGATTCCGTGAAGATTGGTATCCATGAAGACAAAGCCCTGACCCATGTGTTCAGTACTGCCTTTGAGAGACCCGACGGAGGGATTGTCGTCATTGTCTTCAATCAATCCGAAGACACTTTGGATTTCACTATTAAAGAGGGAAACAATCACTTGACTCATACCGTCAAACCTCATGCCATTCAGACGTATATCTATTATAATAATTAAATTTTATTTTGATTTGATTGTAAAAATTTACTGAAAAATAAAATAATTTTAATTAAATTGAATTGAATTGAGCTATAAATAACTTTATTTATATAGTTGTTAATTTGTTTAATTAAGTTAAGTTAAGTTATTACACATTTAAAGGTAATTAAATTATTTGTATACAAATTATCAATAAAATTTATTATTTAGTAATTAATACACTAAAATAAATAAATGATTTTTAAGAATAAAAGAGTTTATTCATTACTTGATATATCAAGGTTCTTTAATCAATTTGTTGTGTCTAATTTACAATTGAACAGTGCTGGTAAACAAAATAATTTTATATTATAACTTATTGTTTATTTATTTAAATTATCAGTAACATAGGATTATTAGTAACAAAGAATGTCAAAGAATGTTTAAAAATGTCTCACCCTTCAAAGTATAGTGGTCATTTACCACTGGTCAAGTTAAGTTCATGTGTTTTATATTAAAGCACTATTCTATTACTATTACCGGTATTAATTTTCGAGTCAGAAATAGAATATAAAGCTATAAAATTAGTACTATTAGTGCAAGGTTCATTCCCAAATTTACATTCCCAAAACTGCTACTTTGTAAACTGTAAACCAAATTATTTTATACTCATACTCTAAATTGCTTAATTTGTAATCCATAATTAATTATTTATTATTTTTGATATATATAACTAAATATGCAGTAGTAAATGAATGATTAAAATAAACATAATTTTAAAATCTGCTACCTTGTTGCAATATATCCTTAATATCATTGTTTATACAGTATTCTTCTCTCAAAATTCTAAATGAATCCAGATATTTATAAAAATAGTTAATAGTTATTTAACTCCAGCTCGGTACACGTGTAACTTTTGCTCTTAATATCAATTTGATGCTCCTATTAATTATTAAATAACATATTATACTGTATATCAATAATAACTTGTTCATAATAGTGATAATAAATATATTAAATATTATAACTAGTTATGTAATAAGTTATTAATTAGTCTTGTTGCACTCAACTTCAGATCTTTCCATAAGAAATTTATTGAATCAAAGATTCAAATAGGAATAAAATTATACAAATTATTATCAAGCATAATCAAAAATACTGAACTTTTTTTAATCAAATAGCAAACTAATCCTTGTTAAGAAAGTGGGTCTCATTTATCTCAATGTGTTTTATCTCATGAATTACTTTCACAATGAAAATAAACAGTATATAAAGAATATAAATTGTGAATTGTTTTGTTTTCTCTAAATAGAAGTTATGAACATATTTTAACTTTCGATTTATAATAATTCAATATAAATTATTATGAAGTATCTCATAGCTATAGTTTTGCTAAACTTTCTCGTAACAGGTAAATAATTATTATAATACTTATTTTAATATAAGTTATATTTATGGATATATAGAATACTAGTATACTTTATATTGAAGTAAGTACAATAGTAACCACTTTATGTACACTTATATTACAGTCTATTCTCGTACGCCATGTGCTAAACGAGACTTAGGAAAGGGAAACATAGTGTGTGTCTGTAATGCCACATATTGTGATAATTTGGATCCATTGAAAAAGACTGCAAAAGGTGTGGTCACTGTCTTCGAGACCAATAGAGATGGCGATCGACTCGCGGAAACTCAGTTGAAGTTTGGAAACAAACCGACGATTAATGCGAAAGTGAGTCAAACGGTTACTCTTAATCCGACACAAAAGGCACAGAAAATCATAGGAATCGGGGGTTCGATGACAGACAGCACCGGATTCAACATCAGAGCACTTCCTGAAGCCCTTCAGAACCACTTAATTAAAGACTACTTTTCCAATGAGGGACTCGAATACAACTTAATCAGAGTTCCCATCGGAGGCTCAGACTTCTCAACCCATGCATACAGTTATGATGACAACCATAAGGATGACTTTGAGTTAACACATTTCAATCTCACTGATGATGACCGCAATTATAAGGTTTATTTCTATTTTTTATAAAAAAAAAGTTAAATATATTTAATTATTTTATTTTTAAAGATACCTTACATGAAATCTGCATTAAAAGTGAGTCCCCATAAAATTAAATTCTTTGGGAGTCCGTGGGCAGCCCCTGCCTGGATGAAAAATAATAGTGAACTGGTTCATGGCGGGTACCTCATTGGACAGCCGGGTGAAAAATATTATAAGACCTTTGCCAAATATTTCGTTAAGTAAGTATATGCAACATTAATTAGCTTGTCTTTCTTATACTAGAGATAAATTTATAACTTGTTTGGAGATCACTGTGTAATTCATGCTAATCTGTTTATATAATTAATATGGAGTTTGTACTGTATTTTCTATTTATTTTTTATTATTTATCCATTTAAAATGAATCGTACAATTTATAAACTATAATATATTTTCTGTTACACATACAGTTGATAATAATATCAATAACAATTTTTACATTATACAGATTTCTCGATGCTTATAAATCAAATGGCCTGGATATATGGGGCATTACTATAGAGAATGAGCCCAAAGCCGGCAACACAAAGACTTAGGGGTCATTCACAAAGTACGTACGCAAAAATTTNGGGTCCTAAGTCTTTCTTAATAAAGTCTCGCTCGAGTTCTGGTGTAAAACCCAAACAATTAAAGTCATATGACTTTTGGTCGCCAGCTTTGGGCTCATTCTCTATAGTAATGCCCCAGAAGTCGAGTCCATTGGACTTATAAGCGTCAAGAAATCTGAATACAATTATAATTTTGTAAATTAATGCAAGAATCCATTAATAATCCAATAATTCAAATGAATGAATACTTACTTAACAAAATATTTGGCGAATGCTTTGTAATATTTTTCACCTGGCTGTCCTTTGATATACCCGCCATGTATCAGTTCACTGTTATTTTTCATCCAGGCAGGGGCTGCCCACGGACTCCCAAAGTATTTCACTTTATATGGGCTTACTTTTGAAGCCATTTTCATATATGGTATCTATAATATAATAAAATGATTATTCATTTTAATATTTAGTAATTTATTAAAAACTAGTAAAACCTTATAATTGCGGTCATCATCTGTAAGACTGAAGTGTGTTAAATCAAAATCGTCGGTATGGTTGTCATCATAAGTGTAGGCATGGGTTGAGAAGTCTGAGCCTCCGATGGGAACTCTGATTAAGTTGTATTCGAGTCCCTCATTGGAGAAGTAGTCTCTAATTAAGTGGTTCTGAAGGGCTTCCGGAAGTGCTCTGATGTTGAATCCGGTGCTGTCTGTCATCGAACCTCCGATTCCTATGATTTTCTGTGCCTTTTGTGTCGGATTAAGAGTAACCGTTTGACTCACTTTCGCATTAATCGTCGGTTTGTTTCCAAACTTCAACTGAGTTTCCGCGAGTCGATCGCCATCTCTAT